GTGCTAAACTAAACACCACTCTCTCTGACAGAACACCTCACTGAGTGATTTCACTCATATGTCTAACTTTGAGGTTTCTCTTTTCAGCCGCAGACCCCATGTCTCCTCTTTATGTGCGTCACTAAGTTGCTCGTACTACTTGTGTACTTTAAAGCGGCTCGGCATCGTTTACAATTTGAGAGCGATTTTTCAAGTTGATCGTCTTTCTTGAAAAATCCGAAGTGTTGCCAAACGTTTGATTTGTAGGTATTTGTCGGTGTGCTGTGTTTCTCTTTCTCCTCGACTTCCATGTGTGTTGATAACTGAGACTCTCGGCCTCTGTAGAGCGAAGCAAAGATCAAAGATCGTCTCTGCTGAGTGCTGACAGGATGAGGGGATATTATATGAATGAATCGTTTTTTTACCGATGCAAAGACGCTACAATCGGTGCATCGCGAGTTCAACCCAAACTGTAGCCGATGTGCACTCTTTCAACCGGTGCACTCGCATCTTGAACGTTTATGCCGGTGAACCGATGCGAATCGGTGAATCTTAACATCCCTACATCAGACACATTCTAGGTTGTATGCTCCTTCATGGGCGACGACTGGCAAACAAATGTCTTGCTCAACAACGATGTAATTGGATGAAAAAGAAGATATTTTATATCTTCGCTTGTAGCTGAAAACCAACTAGCAAGTGAAGCAGGTTCTGTCAGCAGTTGGTTGATTCATGGTGGCTCCTGGCTCCCCCCCCAGCCTGCTGCAGCTCATGATGGTCTACTTTTTACCCTGTAAAATTATTTCTGGGCTTTGAAGAACAACGTGGTGAGTGCAGAGAATGAAGAGATCGCACTAGGCTCCATGTTCAGCCTAGCAGCTTCATAGTGTAATAGGTGTGGGAATATATTTCCATGCAGAGTATTTACAGATTAACATTTTATTATATTTTGCTGGTGCCAAATGATAATAATACAGCAATACTGCTGACATTTCCATGGACGATCATATCTCTGAGTTACTCTTCACCTCTGCGGCGTGCTGACTGCTGTGTAATGGCTGTGTTGTTGTGTATTCTTTATTGACGTACTTACAGTCAGCCACCTGCATCTCCCAGCACACAGGAGGCCATTCAGGGCATGCTGTCCATGGCCAACCTGTCGTCTTCAGACAGCCTGCAGCAACCGTGGAGCAGCCAGTCCAAGAGCAACTCTCACAGCACGCCGGCCGGCAGGAAGGCGGGCGGGGGGGCGGGCGGTGGCAACAGCAAGCGACCCACCAAACGGCTTCCTAAGAAACCCAGGAAAAGCAGCAGCATTGAGAGTCTGGATTACGATGATGACCAGGACCACATGGACGCGTGTTTCAAGGACTCTGATTATGGTAAACTGTCCTATTTTTGTTTAGGAAGACGTTGTTGATGTTGCTCAGCGTGGTCAGGACTGATCCTCAGTGCACAGGTGCTGTTACGAAACCGGTCCCATATGTGGCTCTTCCATTCCTTTTCATTACACAGAGTACACAATAGGGTTTATTTTTTGTGCCTTCAATTGCAAATGTGCCTCTCGTGTTTTTCCAAGTTGTGTTTTTTTTTCTTTGAAGTGTTTTCTTTGTGAGTCCAATCCAAACAGTTGTTCAGCTTGTTAGTAAGCCATTAACATGAGCTGCCAATCTTTCATTTACATCCTTTTGAACTTTTAATTTGGGTCTAATTAGTTGTATGAATCACAAATCTTCAGGCCAGTGTGAAGAACTGGCACTCATTTCTTTCTTTGTAAACAGGCAATTTTTTATCTTGATTATCCTATTGTCAGACACGAGAGTTCTCCTGTGCAGTCCACAGCTGTCTCACAGCTGTCCTGCATGCTGTCAGTGGAAACTTCAAATGCATGGAAAACAGAAAGAAGTGCACTTTAGTAACACTCAGTGTTTTAAATTTGTGACATGATTGGCCGGTACTGTTAAGTTGCTTACATCCTTTCATCGGAAACGTACCCGCCCAACTTGTCAGTAATGCTTTGCATCTTTCGGTTTTAGTTTATCCCTCGTTGGAGTCTGAAGAGGATAATCCGGTTTTCAAATCCAGATCAAAAAAACGAAAAAGCAGTGACGACACTCCCTACAGCCCGACAGGTAAATTCTTGTATTGCTGAAAATGGAAGTTCTACTCTAAATAGACCCTCCAGAAAAACGCGGGCAAAGATCCTTGATTATGCGGGCTAAATTCCTTGATTATGCGGGCTAAAACCCTTGATTATGCGATTAAATATGCGGGGTTTTATGTGATTTTATGCGGTGAAATTGCGGGAAGTTGCGAAATATGCGGAAAGTTGCGAAATATGCGGGGGGAAAGAATAACAATTTTTTTAAATATTGAGCTGTCTTATTTATTCTCTCTCACACACAA